CCCCCCGTTGCAGCATCACCGTATTCAGGGGGCACATAGTTGTTATCGTAGTCTTCTTCTTCACCGTCTTCCATCATAACCCCTATTTCTCCGTGCCTCGTCCAAACATTATAGTGCGGCATGAAACCCTTGTAAAGCAGGTGGGAGTGAAGGATTTTCCGGTTAGAGTAAGACCTCGTATTCCCACATTCAGTGCATGGACAACACATAAAACCATTCTGCTTGTTTGCCTCAGCCGCATCGAGAAACTCATGCACGCCCTTAATGTACTCGCGGGTGTGTCTGTCACCGTACATCTATTGCCGGTTCATCTGCGTGCATTATATATAATTAAGTGTCCAAATTAATAGAAGTTCATCATCACATTAAAACCAAAGTGCATACATAGTTCTCATCTAACAACATATAGCTCTCCAGAGCATCTAATTAATTAAACCATACATTGAAACTATGTAAAACATTTCAATGCGAAAACAAATGCGATCATAATCGCAACCAAGGTAACAATTGATCCAACGGCATAATGATACCAAGCCTCGGTATGAATGGCATATTTTCTAATCTTTCTAATCTTCAAGCGCATTGCATCCATCTTGATCTTGTGATCATCGACGACATCCGCAACATGCAACTCCAATATCATCTTCTCCTCCTCAATTTTTTTTATTTTTTCCTTCAACAAATTGTTTTCTTCTTCAACTAAATTTAACCTCTCGACAATAGGGTCGGTTGGCATTTCCGATTCACATACATCCTAGATAAATAAAATCTATGTCACGTTGGTCGGCATAATTTTTATAAAAAATAAATGAACCAATAGTTATAAAGATAATATACATACCACATCCGAATCATAGACAGGACGAGGGCCGACGGGGGCGGATACCAAAACCATCGCACTATATAAGATGCAATAATAAATGTAAGAAAATGATACAAGTATCTATCTAAATATACAAGTAAGAATATTTTTCCTTTCAGAAAGAAGATAAGAACAAGAGGCTCACCACGGTGGTGTCGGTGATGAGATCGGCGCGGGTGATCGACGGCGGTGAAGACGGGGACGGGGCGTGACGGACCGCTAAATCTAGACAAATCTCGAGGAAAATGAAGCTTGGAGGTCGAGCTTCGAGAGGAGAAAGCTTAAGTAGTGTGGCTCGGGCATTCCATCGAACACCTCATGTGCATAGGAGGTGAGCTAGAGCACCACAAAGCCCTCTCCCGCTCGGCCAAAAAAAACAGAGCACTGTGCTCTACTCTTGCGCGAGGGGGTATATATAGGCACCTCATTGGTCCCGGTTGGTGACATGAGCCGGGACTAAAGGGGAGCCTTTGGTCCCGGTTCAAGCCACCAACTGGGACCAATGGTGGTGGGCCAGGAGCGAGGCCCATTGGTCCCGGTTCATCCCACCAACCGGGCCCAAAAGGTCCAGATGAACCGGGACCAATGGCCCACGTGGCCCAGCCGCCCCCCTGGGCTCACGAACCGGGACCAATGCCCACATTGGTCCCGGTTCTAGACTGAACCGGGACTAATGGGCTGACCCGGCCTGGACCAAAGCCCTGTTTTCTACTAGTGTTGCCTCTAATAATCTCGTGATCTTCTGGAAAGATGCTTAGATATAATAAACATGGCTTAAGATAAGAAGGTAGATCATAATAACTGAACAATAGTATCTTCTTCATCTCAATTACACTACGATCCTCTGTGAGTCCACGACCAATGGAGTTGAGCACGGTGTCCCATTGGTCCTTTGTTTTCATCCGATGATTATTAGCTAGAAGACTTGCTATGGTAATAACGGCTAATGGTATTCCACCACATTTCTTCAAGATGTGTTTAGATACTTCCATCAAGTCATGAGGACATCTTTTATCGGAAGAAAATACTCTTTCATAGAAGAGCCTTCTTGAGACATCATCAAAAAGATGTTTCATCCTATAAATATCAGCAGCAGAAGAGCAACATGCTTCAGAGACACTGAAGATGCGGGTTGTCGTGATTACTCGACTTCCAAGACTATTCTTGGAGAAAGCGCACTTGATTAATTGCCACGCATTTTCATTTCATATGTCATCAATTACGATGAGGTACCTGTACAAATATATTATGTGAGTTAGTTCAGAACCCAATAAAGGAAGATATATGTAAGGTTTTTTTATATGTAGAGACTATGGATTATATATTTATATGTAGAGTAAAATGGACCATAGTAAACTCAAGGAATTATATGAACATTGTAAATCTTTAACTCATCAACAATACCCTTTTAGAATGTAATTGCACCAGTACTTCATGGCCATTATTTTACTAAACAAAATGACTATGGATCTATAGCATGAAAACATAAGCATACCTTTTGTCATTAAGAAATTCAATGAGTTCGTCGATGAGATGCTTTTCTTCTCGTGACGTATTATGTATGTTTGAATACATTTTCTTGTCGAGCTCAAAAAGGATATTCTTCAAGATTTTTTTCATGTTGGGATTCCAAGAAACCAAAACAAAAGCACTACAATCAAATTGCACTTTGATCTTGTCATACACTGTTTTGGCAAGGGTTGTCTTGCCTAACCCACCAAATCCAACAACAGAGACTGTCTTCAACGGATTCTTCAACCAATCATCACCTTAAAGTAACTTGTTGATCAACTCGTCTCGTGGTTCTTCAATGCCGACAAGCTCTCTCACATCTATGTACAGAGCTATGGTGCGAGGATCAATGCTAGCACCAATGCGGGTGTTCAGTGTCTCGAGCTCGTACCTTTGGCACAACTCAGCCAGCTGCTTAGCCTGAGTAACTGCTTCTTCTAGAGCATCGGAGATTCGATGAAGATCTTTGCCCTTCTTGAATAACTTGCCTGTCTTCTTAAGCAACTTCTTCACTCTATTCTTTGGGTTGGCAGATAAATCATCCACACACACAATGAAGACATCCACGATGTCTTCCATTTGGTAGGCCAGGTCCCTTACCATTCCTGCCCAGATCTTAACCCCCTCATCGAGCTCCTCGGGCGGCACTTTCGCCACCTTGCCAAGGGCAGCCTGCATCAGCAACATCTCCTTGCTGAGAGACTCGACGCCTTTCCTCACACGCTTCTCAAGGGTGAACTCGGCTGCGAGCAGGTCCCCCAGCTTCGAGAGGAGAGGGCGGATGGCTAGCATGGCGAGCTCTCGCAGTATGTTTATTCCTTTGGTTTGTTGTTCTAGAGGAGACGTTCTTCAGAGTTGAGATAAGGCCTTCTCATCTGCAGCGCTGTGCGGTTGAGAATTCAGCCAGTGGCACTATTCCCCCTCTAAACGGGAGACAGTGACAAGGAGAAAGAGCAGGACGGGAACATACTGGAGAGTGGAGGCGCTGGCCTGACCGAGCCAGAGCTGGCTGGTCCATGCGTGCGCTGGAGGCCAGCCGTGTGTAGCCCGGCAACTTATGGTGGTCAGGTCGGCCAATTTGCGCGACAACTGCGGTTTTTGTTCACGCTACCAGAACAAGAAGAAAATGAGGTCCAGCCAAAGATGCCAAGAAAGCATGTACTAACAAGTGTCTGTAGAGCACTACTGTTAGCTAGTCTTTTTTACTTTCTGTTCCTTAGATATTTGGTGGCCTTCTGTTTGCCTGGTCGAGAATGGCTGTGGCATGCCTGTTGCTTAGATATTTGGTGTTCTTCTGTTTGTCGAGAATAGCTGTGGCATGCCTGTTAGATATTTGGTGGCCTTTCTGTTCCTTAGAACACCCCACGTAAAACTAGTAAATTAGAGAGCACCCTACGCATTGCTACCGGAATTGATTAGAATATATTTCAGTGATTTGATTGGATGAAATAATCATAGTTGAATTGATAAAATATGAACTAAAATAAAAACAAATACTATATATGTATTTGATTATTGTGTAGCCAAAAAATATTTTAAATACAAGTGGCATAATATAATGAAAAACTTATTACCATGCATGTTGAGTGGACCTTTAATGAGGTGGCATGTGTGGTGAGATGAGATGTGTGCATTGGATCCACTAATAATGGAAAAAAAAATCTCATGCTAGTTGTGGTACGTCTCTGATGAGATGGTGTGTGTGCATGTTAAGTTAGTATAATGCATATCACACTAGTGTATGATACTACACCAAAACTTGTCTAAACACATGAACAGAAGAGATCTCTCCGCACCCCTGTATAATTAATAAAGGGTAGGATGATTTTTCAAAAATATGTCGCCGGCGCCGATATGCGGCTTGTGTACATGCCGCCAGTACACGGCGCCCTCAACTTTTTTCTCTTTCTTTTTAAACTTCAAAAAAGAGTGTGCTTGATATGAATCATATTCTTGACCTCTATGTTTAGAGAAAACCACACTAATCAACTAGGACATCTTAGGGCTCATGCTTATTTTTCTAATTATTCCTTTTCTTCTTCTTCTTCTTCAGTTCGCGGAAGCCCACGGTTTCACTGGGCCGGCACATTGTTGAACCAATCTTTTTTCAATTATTTCTTTATTTTTTCTACCCATTTTTGGTTTCATATTAAAAAAAATCATTTCTGTCTTATTTTTCAAAAAATGTCACACCTTTATTTTATTTCAAAATTTCAAAAGGAAATCACTTTCTCAAATTTGGTTTATGAAATAAATATTCTGAAGGAAATATGCCCTAGAGGCAATAATCAAGTTATTATTTATTTCCTTATTTCATGATAAATGTTTATTATTCATGCTAGAATTGTATTAACCGAAAACTTGATACATGTGTGAATACATAGACAAATAGAGTGGCACTAGTATGCCTCTACTTGACTAGCTCGTTGAATCAAAGACGGTTAAGTTTCCTAGCCATAGACATGAGTTGTCATTTGATTAACGGGATTACATCATTAGAGAATGATGTGATTGACTTGACCCATTCCGTTAGCTTAGCACTTGATCGTTTAGTATGTTGCCATTTCTTTATTCATGACTTATACATGTTCCTATGACTATGAGATTATGCAACTCCCGTTTACCGGAGGAACACTTTGTGTGCTACCAAACATCACAATGTAACTGGGTGATTATAAAGGTGCTCTACAGGTGTCTCTGAAGGTACTTGTTGGGTTGGCGTATTTCGAGATTATGATTTGTCACTCCGATTGTGGGAGAGGTATCTCTGAGCCCACTCGGTAATGCACATCACTTAAGCCTTGCAAGCATTCCAACTAATGAGTTAGTTGCGGGATGATGTATTACGGAACGAGTAAAGAGACTTGCCGTTAACGAGATTGAACTAGGTATTGAGATACCAACGATTGAATCTCGGGCAAGTAACATACCAATGACAAAGGGAACAACGTATGTTGTTATGCGGTTTGACCAATAAAGATTTTCGTAGAATATGTGGGAGCCAACATGAGCATCCAGGTTCCGCTATTGGTTATTGACCGGAGACATGTCTCGGTCATGTGTACATAGTTCTCGAACCTATAGGGTCCGCAAGCTTAAAGTTCGATGACGATTTGTATTATGAGTTATGTGATTTGATGTACCGAAGGTAGTTCGGAGTCTCAGATGAGATCAGGGACATGACGAGGAGTCTCGAAATGGTCGAGACGTAAAGATCGATATATTGGACGACTATATTCGGACATCGGAAAGGTTCTGAGTGATTCGGGTATTTTCGGAGTACCGGGGAGTTACGGGAATTCACCGGGAGAAGTATTGGGACTTATTGGGCCATACGGGAATAGAGGAGAGAGGCCAAAAGAAGGAGGCGCGCACCCCCCCTCTGGTCCCCCTTTTCCTTCTCCCTCTCCCCCTCTTTCCTTCTCTCCTACTCCGGAAAGGAAAGGGGAATCCTACTAGGACTTGGGAGTCCTAGTAGGACTCCCCACACTTGGCGCGCCCCCCTCTAGGGCTGGCCTCTCCCTTGCTCATTTATATACGGGGGCAGGGGGCACCCCATAGAGACAACAATTGATCCCTTGGATCTCTTAGCCGTGTGCGGTGCCTCACTCCACCATAATCCACCTCGATCATATCGTAGCGGTGCTTAGGCGAAGCCCTGCGTCAGTAGAACATCATCATCGTTACCACGCCGTCGTGCTGACGGAACTCTCCCTCAAAGCTCGGCTGGATCGGAGTTCGAGGGACGTCATCGAGTTGAACGTGTGCTGAACTCGGAGGTGCCGTGCGTTCGGTACTTGATCGGTCGGATCGTGAAGACGTACGACTACATCAACCGCGTTGTGCTAACGCTTCCGCTTTCGGTCTACGAGGATACGTGGACACACTCTCCCCTCTCGTTGCTATGCATCACCACGATCTTGCGTGTGCGTAGGAAATATTTTGAAATTACTACGTTCCCCAACATATTCGTATTTTCAAAAATAGTACCGAAAGAAAAATGTGCATGTCTAAACTGCTCAAAATACACTTTTTTAAAGAGCAAACCGAATTTGAAATGAACATTTTAAGTTTTTAGATTTTTTTCAAAAACACTAAAAAATTTGGATTTCAAAAAATTAGAAAAACACAAATAAAAATTTGAAACCAATTATTTTTTGAATTCTCCAGACATTTTTTGTATTTGTGTAGATTTTTTAAACGCGAACAATTTTGAAAGAGCGGACGTTATTTGAAACCCCCCACACATTTCTTTAAATTTGTGAATAGATTTCTCATGGTCTTGTATGACCAATTCAAGGCACCATATGCCAAGTTGTTTGGGTTTTCGAGTTTTGCATTTTCTGAAGTTTTCTCGATGAAAAGGGCCAATAACTTGCCAAATCCAAAAAACTTTTCATGGTGCCTTGAATTGGTCAGTTGGTGTATTTGTAAAAGAAAAGAATTGGTTAGTTGGTGGAAAAATTAGTCTCATTTGACAAAAGACGAAAAACAACGTGTTTTGAACCGACCCTTCTGGCCTACCCGAACACTCTTCGTTTGAACATGGTCTATTTTTGGGCGTTGTCGAAATGGAACCAACTTTTGCAAGTAGGTGAGCACGCCTATGGTAGGTGTCCATGACTAGTTTGAATGACTTTTTACACGGTATGCAAGTTGCGACACGTCCTACCATTTATCGGTCTTTTTTGACAGAGAAAACTCCAAAAAATGCAAAACTTGTCAAAAACTCAAACACCTTATAATGTGGTGCCTTGAATTATTCATACAAGTCAATGTAAAAAAATGGGGCCATTTAAGGGATGCCGAGAAATTAGGTGCCCCCAAACAGACCCCTCTGCTTACCCGAACACTCTCCGTTGAATATGGTATTTTTCTAGAAATCTCAGGACTGACGCCACTTTTGCAAGCAGGTGGGCATTCTCATTTTATACATACATGCATGGTTTGAATGACTTCTGACACCATATGCACGTTGCGACACATCTGGGTATTTATCAGCCTTTTTCACCGGGAAAGCACTAGAAAATGCAAAACTTGTCAAAAAGAAAAACAACTTTGGTATGGTTCCTGGAAATTGACATAAAAGGCCATGAAAAAATTGGGGCCATTTCAAGGATATTAAGAAACGATGAGCTCTCAGATAAAGCCTTCTGGCCTATGCGGACACTCTCCATTGAACATGGTTTATTATTGGACAATCTTGAAATGACCCCAACTTTTGCAAGTAGGTGGGCATGCCCGTGGTAGGCATCCATGCTAGATTTGAATGATTACCAATACCGTATGCAAGTTGTGTCACGTCCGGCCATTTATCGACATTTTTTGACCGAGAAAACTCCAAAAAAAAATTGCGGAAGGGATAATGTGCTAGCATCTGGCCCAAGTTCAAGCAAAATTTTGATTTTTTTGATGCAAATCCTATTTTCTTTCGGAAGCATACTCTCACATCTCTGGAAGCAATGTTTGATTTCTGGAAACAAATATTTTTTTCTGTTGGAACCAATTCCATGTTACATTAGAAACAAAATTCCGGTTCATGTATCGTCTATGCATAGCAAATATAATACATTGCTATGGTACATAGACTTTCACTCAATAGTAGCAATTATCCGTTGGCTTGGAAGCAGTTTCTCAGCAAGTAATGCGACAAATTACATTATTTTTCCGCTTCATACAACCTGTGTTCATGCTTCCATGGAAGCATGGTTCGAGTACATTTTGTTCTGGTGCTACATATAACTCACTTTCATGGTTCAATGGAAGGATGCTTCGAATTTGATCACCTGGTC